ATAGTATAAGTATAAAAATATTTATATTACAAAAAGTTTTGAATTTTTAATATTGTAAAATTGAAACGATTTCAAAGTTATTTTTAATTTAGACTTACCTCAATGTTATTCGAAATTTAAATTTAAAATTAATGATGACAAAGAGCCACAAAATGATACAACAGAACCAAATTTGGTTACAAACAGGAACAGTGAAAAATGTAACAAAACTGTTGAACAATCAGTACAACCAACCGACTAGACTTGAAAAATAAAATTTTTAAGTATGTGCCGAAATGGAGTTTTATGGTAAAAACAAACGTGACAAATGTTAGGAAAAACATCTCGTTTTAGTCATACCGCTGTTTCGTCAAATTGTTACCTAGATAATGCAATCATAAATCTGGTATTTTTTGTCAGTATTGATCTAAAGGTCCAATCACCCAACCCAAAGGTGCACTATTTTTCAATTATTACAGTCAGAAAGTGACTTCTTATGATCTGTTTTTGTGAACCACTCCCCATAGTGGAATATTAATCTGTAGCTTTTTCGAAAAATTTTCGATGGGCGCCTTGGTCTGTTCCTGCTATAATATTTTGTATGTAGTGATTCAATGTTTATTTTTATAGAGTTAATATAAAAGCATAGGAGGTGCCCGCCGCCCGGCGCCCCTTGTCATGGGCGTCCCGATGCGGTGCATCTTTCGCTTACCGTGTTGAGCCGGCCCTGAGCACCAGGTATGGTAACAAGGGTTAATCTGCCCACTCTCCGAGATACCTTCCTTCTAGTCAAATCGTTATGTGGAAATAAATAACACAAGTCTGCAAATTTAACTTTTGAAAATTTGTTTTTGTTCTGATGGCTGTCTCTGGTAGTTTTTTTAGCGTTCATTACGTCTGTGATATCTGTTTGTCGCTTTTACGTAAGGTTTATTTGTAAAACAAGATTAAAACTGAAATTTTTAAGTAGTACCTGTAAGACTATTATAAAAATACTTTAATAGATTTTTTTCATAATCTGAATACAAAAATTTATTGGATGAGGTGATTTTTCTGTTAACAAGACCGATTTTATTTTTTACTTTGTTTCCTTAATTTTTTGTTTTTTTTTTAAATTTATAGGTGACAGAATGTTTTAAATAGCTTTTTCTCGAGATTAGCGTTTAAAAATTTAGGCGATGACTCAAGGATTCTTGTTAATAAACATTGTTTTGTTGAAAACCTATAATGTGATACCATTGTTTAGTTTCGTTTCTGTAAAGTTTTTTGAAAAAAAAAACACTGCAATATGTATATATAGGTTAAATCATTTACCTATATATGATTTTAAGTAATATAAAATATTTTGGCACAGTTGTTTTAATTTAATGAATTGTACAAATATTTCCTGTTAAAAAACATATTTTTCTCCAACCGTCATAAAAGCATGACGTTTTTTGACTGTCAGGGATCTCTAAGGTTAACGTTTTCTTTACTGAGGGGGAGATTCTCGAAACTCGATAAGGCCTTGCAAGGATCTGCAAATTCAAAACCATAGCAACATTTATTTATTTATTATTACATGTATTGTTGTTGCATTGTATTTGCAGTTTCGATAGGGATTTGCAAATTATCGGAGTTTCCAGAATCTCCCCCTTAGATAATAAAAGATGGCATCCTAGCAACAAACAAGTCATTTTTTATCTTAGGAGCTAAAGTGTTACTTTTACTCCTAAGATAAAAAGTATTCAGGTATCAAAATTTAAATTTAGACTTTGGTTAGTACTTTCATCAAATCTTAATTGTTTATTATTTATTAACAGTAATATTAAACGTACAACTTTCACAATTACTAAAATTAAATAAAGCACTGCTGGAACTACCAATACCATCTTCCGTAGAAGAGTTTTCAGAGCAACGCAACATGTCCTCACTAGCTGATGAAATAATTATTTTCAAAAGTAGTATTTTGCTCAGAAACATGATTAAAACTTAATCCTAAAGTTTTGAGTTCACGCGATGAAGCTGCTCTTGGTATATCAGGTTGAAGTATTTTTTTTGCAATGATTTCTTTGCTTAAACAGGATTCTTCAATATACCCTTCAGCCACGGCACTTGACCTCCACCCTCCGTGGCGTTTAAGGCAGGTGAGGTCAGCTCCGGCGTCAACAAGAAGGGTTGCAGATGTCCGACGCAATGTGTGTCCCGTATAGTCTTTCCAGTTATTTAGCTTCAAAAATTTTGCAATTTCTTGTGGTACGGCACTAATTGTATGAATACCAACTACCATTCTATGACACTTCCCATTAACATATCTAAGAAACAATAGACTTTCCTCCAAACCTGCAGGACGTAAACTAACATATTTTCGAAACAGACTTAAATAATCTTCCGCCAACACTGTAAAAGAACGTGGCCTCTTCGTTTTAGTGTTAGGAATCGCTATAATCAAGGCTGATTTCACATCTTTGATGTTATCCATTTTTACATTGACTAATTCGTCAGAACGGCATGCGCCTGTAATTCCCAATATTAAGACAACCTGTAAAAAATACGAATATTTACAAAAAAGTCTGTTTTTGTTTAAGATTTCAAACCTTCATCATCAAATACAAATTATCTGGTGCCGTATGTAAGAAACGATCAACTTGCTCCTTTTTAAAGACAGCTGCCTTTTTTGGAGTATATCCCTCGTTTTGCCTCTTAAGAAACGCACGTAACTCGGAATATTTACTAATATTCACTCCGTTTTTAATATCCAATGTTGATCGCAACATTGAATACTGTGACCATAACGTAGACGGTTTCACTTTCTTTGCTAAGTTTGCGAAATACACCATAAGGACATCTTCAGAATATATTTGAACTGCTTTTTCTTTACACCATTCCACGAAACGTTGATATGCACTTTCATAAATTTCTCGGAATTTCTGGGGAAGAAGATTTAACGAAACTTCTTTGGCACACTCTAATATATCCTCTGGTACTTTATTACAATCCATTTTCACTTTAACTTGCAACTTAATTCGCAAATTTGCAATATGGCGGATAATGTTTGAAAATTTTCCATAACTACATGGAAATAGGCTACTTTATTTTCCAACGAGTTTTTGGTTAATTTTAATTGTTCAAAAGCAAAAACGAAATAGTTTCGTGATTGCGGTTGGAGAAAAAATAGTATATATTATTCGGTTCTAAAGTGTCTTTTTTTGCCTCGCAATGATTGCTTTCGCTCGGCTACGCTTCGCTCCGCCTCGCAAATGAAATCATTGCTCGTCAAAAAAAGATACATAGAACCTAATAATATAATATACTATTTTATGTTATTTAAACAATATCTCTTTTTTTTTAGACGTGATAGAACTGTGTTAGTATTTTTCCTGTACTTAACGTACTAAACTCTATCAAATGAGTCATTTCTCTACACGCCAAGGCAAGGTAAGGTTTCTGTTTTAATTTTATTGAACTTATTCTTTTTTTGTGGAGGGGGGAGAGGGATCTAAACGTGCTGGAATTTTTTGCAATTTTTTTCCATTATCAATGTCCATAAATCTAGCCTGTCAAAGTTAAGACACGTTTTTTGTTGCAGGCCTGTGTAATAATTGAAAACTAGAAGAATTACTTTTTATTAAATGCAAAATACTTAGATACAATGATTTATTTTATATACAATTAATTTTATTATTAATAATTACAAATTTTATGTCTATGCGATACGAGTTTGACGAATTCGTAGTCTGTTAAGGTGCCGTTTTTAAGTTGATGCAATTCAACTTCCGGTTCATTCATGAACTACCTGAAGCGGGTGCTTGGTGTCGAGTTGGCCTATCATCAAAGGGTAGTTTTTAAAATTATCTGAAATTGCTGGTGCCGAATTGGCGTGTTTATTTTATGATGGATTAGGCTTGGTGCCGAGTTCACCTGTACCCAAAAGGGTTGCTCCACTCGCCTTCGGCTCGTGAGATCAAACCCTCATTTTCGTGAATAATTACCATCATTACCCGCTCGTTGAATATTATACTATTTCAAAACAATTAAACATTGACTCTGTAGACAGGTATCACGAGAAAAATCGTGAATCAATTATCAAAGACTATTTGAGAATAGTTCTGTTGCACGAAACAGACTTCCTTCTGAAATTTGAACGTTAAAGTTGATTTAAGCTTATACAAAAGGCCCTTTGCTATCTAATTATAGTAAAAAAGCCAAAAAATTAAACGCTAATTCATTGAAAAAAATTTGCACGAAAAAGAGTGTTGATAAATAGCTTCGAAATCATGAGAGCCCAAACATATGCTTTCGTACAATTAAGGAGCCTAAACATTTGAATTCGCACTTAGAAAATGACCATATTTGAATCGTAATTTTTTTCAAATCCTGTACATTCTTTTCCATCTATCACCTCTGTTATGTAATTTATTACCTCTACCAGAGTTGTTATTTCCATGTATCCATGTTGGTGAGCATTCCAGAGTTCTTTGCTTTGAAAATATTTTATTATTTTTTCTTTCAAAAGGCCTTCGAATATTTTGGAAAAAACTGGGAGAATAGAAATAGATCTATAGCTTGACGCGTCCTCCAATTTCCATTTTTTCTAGATCGGGACTGTCTTACCTATTTTTAGTTGTTCCGGAAATAGTTCTTTCCTCAAAGATTTTTTAATGACGTCAGTCAAAGGTATGATTATGTATGGGATTATCCTCAAAAATAGATTTGTATTGAAGTCATAAATATCAAATGTCTTTTTCTTTTTAATTTACTTGGCATAGGTCAGGAGTGTCAGGACCTCGTCTTCTTTAAAAGGAAATAAAACAAAAGACCCGTGATGCTGTGATTTTACAGTTTTTGTGCGCCAGTCGTATTATCTATGTCATCATTCACTAGTTTAGCTGAAAAAAGAAACGCTCATACTCTCATATTGCTCAATCAAAATTAATCGATATCCAAGTTTAAAAAAAATATCCCGTTTTGCTCATTATTCCTTATGTTAACATGATTGTTGTTGTTAGTGATATTACTACTAAATTATATTTTTGTTGCAGACACTTTATTGGAAGAGTTTTGATAACTTTAGCCCTAGAGGAGAAAGACTGTAAGTAAAAATGCTGTCAATTTTAACGAAAATTAAGACTTATGTTTTTAGAGAAATTTGAGTGAAAATTTTTGCCACTAAAACAAGTGTCTTAAACAAGCATAGTCTTTTTGACACTGAAATGAATGATGCAACATAATCAGTTCAATTTTAAATCAGAGAGATACTTATAATAAATTATACTGCAATAAATATTGTACGTCTACACTTGCAGTTTTTTTATACTGTTACAACCCAAATATTCCACAAAACTGAGACATGTGCGCAAAAATTAGAAAATCCGCGAAAATTGATCATGAAATATGATCGCCCACAAAGAGGAGGATTGATATTTTTCATACCCAGCCGTACCCGGAAATGTCCGGTATCCAGGCAAGACTTCTATTATTACGGGTACTAAGACGAAGTAGTGATATGCATTGATTAGATTAATAAAATAACTAGAAGTCCTAGAATTACAGCATATAAATTTTTCTGTTATTATTCTCTACCTAATCTCACTCAATGTCCAAGAGCCTAACGTAATTAATGATCATTTATCCTCACATCATTTCAGAAATGACCTACACTATTTTGATCTACACTGCTCTGGCCTATTGGTACTGACCTATTGTGACTGGCATGATTAGATTGGTCCAGAAACTTACGGATAAGATGACATGTTCCTAACTATATATAACTATAAATAGCTTTTTTTATTCTGACAATTATTGAGTCATGTAAGCCTAAAGATTTCAAATTCTCAACTGAACTATTTGGTAATACACCTACATTGGACATAACTAAAGGTAGAATTGAAATTATTTCAAGATTGAGCAATTGAGCATTACCTTTATTTCTATCGATAATTGTAGATATTTTAAAATTTTGGTGTGGTATGGTGAAGTGTGAACTTGTAGTAAAAATTGGTCAAAAGTCCTTTCGACAGAACTTCCCTCGCTCCTGAAGTACAACGAAACATATGCAGTATTTTTGGAAACCTATAAAATTTGATTTATGAATTTTATTTTCCTTAAAGGAACCCCTATAAGTTGCAATAAACATATATCAATACGTAATGTTAAAGAAAATGTAAAGAAATGTGTTACGCGTATGTTTTAAATTTTTACTTTATAAAATTTTGTGATGACCTCATCGACATCGTGCAAGAACACGTATTCTAACGTAAATTGGTGCAGTGTAATACTAATAATAATGGTATTGTGTTTTTTTTTTTTCGGGAAAATGAGTGAGCCGTTTTTGATTTGATCAATAAAATAAATTGATCCATTCATTAATTTTTTTGAGCCACCTAAATACGAATGCAATGATAAATCACAAGCATAGAGTAACAATAAATGATAATTCAGATACAATAAATCAATATATTTTCATTGACGATTTACCATGATTAGGAGATTGATTAAATACATACAGCAGTGGCGGCTGGTGGGTCAAAATTTCGGTTCGGCCAAATATTTTGAGTCTACACCTTTGTGTTATATATTTTGGTAATGGATGGGCGCTACTCGTTAACCACTGATATTTTACGTGCCAGGTTGTACAAAAACATCTCGAATGTTTCGACCTTGACTTGTTAAAATAATTTTTTTGTAGGAAATTGACAATGTCAGTTTGATTCCAAATACCATTAATCCTTAATTCTACTTGTTCTGCCTTATCTTATCATTAATTGAGACCCACAGAAAAAATTATTTTTACTGGGTTCCGCGTCGACCGGCGACTATACGACTTGCCGACCCCGGACATCCACAATTAAATAATACAACAAAAAAGGAAAACAGTGACAGTGTTCAAGCATCAAAGCAACAATCGAGCCATCAAAATATAAGTTAGGATGGGGTAGACACCTTGAGATGGGAATTTCTATGGCCAGTGTTAGAAAAAACGCACTGCACAATTTATCCATCAATAAAAGTTACTTACTTGAAAAGTTTTCGATATTCCCGCTTCTAATGTGTTTTTCAAACTGAAACATGAAAGTCGCCATGTTTAGTCAAAATTCACTCTTACAACGATCCTACTCGTTTTCTAAGCTACTTTACAGACAGCTCAGTCATTTGCCACGCCGATGCTAATTTTTAGATTAAATGCTCACAAAACGCGTAGATGTTCAATTTGTGTCCGGGGAGATACAATGTTTCCACGTAGGTACTCAGTACATGGAGTAGTTGATCAGGTATATAAGAGTAATAATGAAGTAGGTACTTCGTACTTCGAATATGAGTATCTACTCCGTTTTATTCATACCACCCAATGTCTCGCTTCAATGTTTGATTATGATTATAACGCTGATCAACTTCCATATCGGAATTACCCATGAAATAAATCATTGCGGTTCCCACCTGTGGTAGTTCGTCACACATTTGATTGACTTCGTGGACCTATGTCAGCTTGTCGTCTTCTCGGAATTGTAATGTACTTCATAAAACGACACTGAATTATTTTCACAGTCAATCAAATCTGTAAATTTTGTCTTGAAAATTTTAAAATATTGAAAATTTCAAATTAAATCTTCGAATAACGGTTTTGTCGAAACCAACAAAGTGAATATAGGTAAATAGAATGGCAGATCAAAATTAATATTATTATTATTATTATTAATAAGACCCACCACTGACCCGGAAATGACCGGCATTCAGGCAAGACTTCTATCATTACGGGTACTAAGACCAAGTAATGATATGCATTGATTAGATTAACAGAACAACTTTCGAGATTCTAGAATTACAACATACAAATTAGTTTGCTATTATTCTCTAATCTCACCCCATCCCCAAAAGTCTAGCGTAACTACCGACCATTTATCCGCGCATCACTTGGAAAGTGACCTACACTACTCTGACCTACTGGTGCTAATCTAATCTGACTGACATGATCAGATTGTTCAAGAAACTTACGAACAATATGACATGTTCCTAACAAAACAGCTTTTTGAATTTTGACAATTATTGAATCATTCAAATGCAAAGACTTTAAATTCTCAACTAAGCTAGTTGGGACTACACCTACATTAGAGATAACTAAGGGTAGAATTGAAATTTTTTTAAGATTCAACATGGATTTCATTTCTATCGATAATTGTAGATATTTTGAAATCTTGGTGTGGTATGTTTGAATAATGCTGTTTGTGTTAGGAATAGCAATGTCAATGAGAATGGCTTCGTTCGTGTTTTTTTTGATAAGTATGATGTCTGGTCTGTTAGCTGTAATGTTTAAGTCTGTAAGTATTGTGCGATCCCAGTATAATTTGTATTTGTTATTTTCAAGGAACGGAGATGGAATGTAAGTGTAATAGGGTGTCGTATCTTCGATTAAGTTCATAAGTGTTGCTAATTCTTTGTGGATGATTTTGGCGACGTTGTCGTGTCTAGCTTTGTAGTCAGTTTGTGCTAGGTTGCTGCAGGAAGAGATTATGTGCTGGATCGTTTCAGGTTTTGCTTTGCAGAGGCGACAGCAGTCGTTTCTTATGTTCGGATCTTTGATGATGTATTTTTTGTAATTCTTGGTATTGATTACTTGGTCTTGAATAGCAAACACAAATCCTTCTGTTTCGGCATACAAACTTGATTTTTTTAACCAAATCAATGACATCTTCTTATTGACATGAGTTTCTTCTAAGTCTTTGTAGAATTTTCCATGTAGTTGTTTTTGTTTTAGCCCACTTATTATTTTATATATTGTATGGGGGGGTGTGGATTTCTTCGGTGTTCGACAGATTTAAGGGTGTGTGGTTCAAATCTGCTCTTGTGATGGTGCGAAACATTTCATTTCTTTCCGCCCGTTTCAAGAAATAGTTCTTCAAATTTGAGATTTGAAGAATAATAATATTATTAATAATATTATTATTAATATTATTAAATATTCGACAGGGCGAACCCCATTTATGGAATATATTTGTGTTTAATTCAAACCGATTCAAACTTTAATTTCTTAATGGTACACATATTTGTATTAAAAATGTCTACCTGACGGTTAAGCCAGTTACCTATGTAACACAATCTGTACACGGGTGAAAACTTCAGAACATTCGTTCTGGGTGTTGGTAACGCAAATAACTCCGGTTTTCTAGATATAAGTAATCTAGGACTTCCATTAAAACATATTCTTCTCAATATGTCATGACAATCTTATAAATAGTGACTGCCAAAAATAATTTGTTACGGTTTTCTAATGCTGTCATAGAATATCTCTCCGAAAGTATAATTTGTGGAAATCCAACCGGAGGATACGTTCTCTCCTCTCTAAAATACAGATATTTAAGGAACCTACGCTGCACCTTTTCAATTGTTTATATGTATATTATAGTAAGGGAACCAGACCACATTTGCGTATTCCATTTTGGTTCTAACCAGTGCAATAAAAAGTGAAATTAACGTCTTTGTATTCACAAAATCCTTTGAATTTCTGAGTATGTAGCCAAGGGACCTAAAACACGCAGAGACTACATAATCGAAGTGAGCACTAAAAGACAATTTACTGTCAAACTTAACTCCTAAGTCATGAACAATGTTCGGTCTAGAGACTAACTCACCTAATATGCTGTAATCAAAATAGATAGAATTTTTCATTTTAGAGAAGGACATAACGTAGCATTTTATTTTATTGAGTGGCAATTCATTAACTTTGGACCAATTTAAGACTTGATTTAGGTTGCCATGTAACTTCACATAATCTGCCGATGACTTCACTTTTGTGAATATTTTTAAATCGTCCGCATATAGTAAATAATCAACATTCAGGATGTGGCTTATATCATTGATAAACACGGAAAATAGAAGTGGCCCCAGCACCGACCCCTGTGGCACTCCAGAAGTTGGAAATACATCCTTTGATGAGCATCCACTGGAATAGACAAACTGTTTCCTAGCACAAAGGTAAGAGTGAAAAACCTTAAGTAGCGCTGGTAAGAATCCAATGACACCAAGTTTATACAACAAAATATTGTGACTTATTTTGTCAAAGGCTTTGGAAAAGTCCATGTAAATGACGTCCGTCTGACCGCCCTCATCAATTGACTTACTTAGGAATTGAGTTAAAGACACTAAATTTGTCACTGTAGACCTGCCATGCATAAATCCATGTTGGTTTTCAGAGATATTACTTTTTAAGTGAAAATAAATGTTATTAAAAATCACCATTTCAAAGATTTTAGTGAAGTTATTTATTAAAGCAATTGGTCGGTAGTTTTCGATAGCCTTACGA